GTGTTGATAGATAACAAAACTTGCTTTTGATATTCCGAATTTATTAATTGATCACTTTCTACTTATTAATGAAATATCAATAAGAACTTCTTAAACATTCCGAGAAAGTTGCCCTTCAATCATTATTTAACGTTACGTAATGGGAAAATTCAAGAAGTAATTAATTTAAGTGAATATCGTTGAAAGTTTGTAAAATTTGACACATGTTTGCTTATAAACATTTTTATCTTTATTAATTGTCACCAAAAAAAGTATAAATTCGGCGAAAATTTCAAATTCCTCGAATGAACGGTTGCAGTTTTCATGAAATGATCGTGCAATGAAGTTTTAGGTTGTGGTTTTTGAGTGTCTTGTCAATAGTGAGATAAAATGTAGAATGAAGTGAAATTATATTTCTAATCCAACTTTGTAATGAAACATCAATCAAAAAGAATTTGAGAACGGCAGCATAATTATGCTTGTCAAGAAGTGAAGGCTAATCAGATAGCTAAAGATGATAAAGAACAAAAACCTTATACAAAAGTTAGTAAATGTTGTAGACAATTCGATCTTCCCAATAAAACTTTATTGAATGCATCATCAATTTTAGATAGTTCGAAAGAAGTTTTTCAGATACCAAATAGTCAATTACAGTTAACATGACACTTGAACAGATTCGTGAGAAACTATTAAAAAGTTTTATGATTGATAGTGCACGTGGAATTGAAAATTTTCCTTCTACCATTTCATTGTTTCAAGAATTGAATTATTAAAATGTTATTTNAAACATCAATCAAAAAAAATTGAAAACGGCAGCATAATTATGCTTGTCAAGAAGTGAAGGCTAATCAGATAGCTAAAGATGATAAAGAACAAAAACCTTATACAAAAGTCAGTAAATGTTGTAGATGATTCGATCTTTCCAATAAAACTTTATTGAATGCATCATCAATTTTAAATAGATAGTTCGAAAGAAGTTTGTCAGATACCAAATAGTCAATTACAGTTAACATGACACTTGAACAGTTTCGTGAGAAACTATCAAAAAGTTTTACACGTAATTGCACGTGAAACTGAAAATTTTCCTTCTACCATTTCATTGTTTCAAGAATTGACTTATTAAAATGTTATTTAAAACATTAAGAAATGTCATACTTGGCTAATTTGTTTCATTTCATCGAATTTCCATCAGTTGTCTTCAACACAAAGTCCAGAAAAAAGTTCAGGGAATTTTTGAACATTAATTCGATATTTTATTATCACAAACATTCTTTGTCTCGAATCAAGATAATGATTGAAGTGAAATTACCAAACAACTGTCAATTGTTATCATTTTATTATTCTTTTTCTTCCCTCATGTTTTCGGATTCTTTGATAATGTGTTTAAAATTGTTTTTGTCACTCTAAAATATTTTGCTGATAGCTTTTAAGGAAGAGTATATAAAGCAGCCATCAGCAATACCGTCACTATAACGAAACAAATCACGGTAATCGACAAACCATGAACAGTAAGTGAAATCATTGTCTCGCTTCAGCATTCAATAAATTTTCTCTTTATTAGCTTTCGTGGTTATTCTTGCCTGCTTAACAGCAGTTACATTAGCCAGCCCAGTTGACGATGTGATTGTAGAATTTCTCGCCAATGGAGAGATGAGATGCAGAACTAACTGCAATCGTAATCGCAACCGTAACAATCCTATCAGTCCATGGAACGATTGTCCACCAACCAACTGCCCACCACCATTCCGTCCTCCAAACTGCGGTGCTCCAGACTGCTCAATAATTGCAAACAGAGTTCGTGGAGTTCATTTTGATCATCCCAGTGATCCAAATCGATTCATTGTCTGTGCACCACTTGATGCCGTTACATGGGCACCAAAGGAACAATGGTGTGGCTGTGGAACATTGTTCAGCTCCCTTTCAGACCCTGCAAGATGTGTTCACCCATGGGAATGGAGACAAGTTTGCACTTCCCAACCAATGGATCCGATTTTAAGGTATTTCTACAAAGTTTGAAAGAACATCAAGAAATTTCATAGAAATTATTTCCCGTAGCGACGAAAATTGCGGTGCAGATTGTCCAGATTGCGAAAATGGAAGTACTCCAGGTGATCCAATACCATCAACAACAACTACAACTCGTCTACCTGACAACTGCCCATGCCCATGCGTACCATGTAAGATCATTTTTAATGATTTTTAAATCAACACTAAAAATTTTAATTTTCATGATTAGGCGTCTGGTGGCCATGTCAACCATGCCAAAGTAACTGCGCTTGCAACAATCAACAACAACCAATTCAACAACCAAGACCACCAATGAGACCCAACAACCCATGGGAACAGCCAATTCAACAGCCAAGACCACCAATGAGACCTAACAATCCATGGGAACAGCAACCAGTTGACCCAGTATGGCCTAACCATCCATGGGACCAGACACCAAACAACCCATGGAATCAAGAACCTTGGCGCCGAATGGATGCCGAAGAAGAAAAGGAAGAATAATTTTCGCAAATTCCAAATAGCATAAAGTTTCTATAAATACTTTTATTCAATGAAATTATTGACTATTTTAAACTGAAGCAGAAAATCTAAAAAATGTATTTAATATCTATGCAAATATAAAGTAAGCAAGCAAGTTACTTGAAATTGTTTCACTCATTTTGTGGTTGGAATGGCAAAGAAGACTTGAATTCAAATCTTGGTGCAAAAGCCTGAGTTGTTTAAGTAATAAGAAACTCATTTCTTCTCTACATATTTAATGCCATCTGATTTCAATTACGATTAGAATAATTTCATGTTCAAAGTGTCTCGAAAATACAAATTAATTCTGCAATGAATTTCAAGCAGTTTCACAAAATGTTTAAAAAATTTCTGGAATGGTTTCAGTTCAGTTCTTTCAGAAAAATTATTGTTACTGTCAGTGTCAATTAAATTGACAAAAGAAATTGAAAAATGAATTTCGGTTTCGTAATCAATGAATATTTAAATTATTTATGGTTCAACTTTACTTTGCTTTTCAATCAACGAAGGTTTCAGTAGCATGAAAGTTAAAATTTATCAAACCCTTAAAGTGTTGTTTTAGGAATGTTTTTAACGAAAGGAAAAACTTTGGGGAAACGAAGAAGTTTCAGTTCTCGTCTGGTCAATTTCATAAATTATTTATTTCATTCTCATCTTTTGCTTATCATTTCTATGGCTACTGTTAGTAGGCGAAAGTAATCTATTTGTGTATGATAATGTGATTCGGTATATAAATGGCAGAAAGGTATTAATTCAAATGATAAGGGTGAACCAAAAACAGAAGAAGGAAATGAATTTTAAATGGACTTATGATAATAGCCAGTTACTATCTTCCCACCAATTTGAAAAGATGATGCTTTGTATTCTTAGGAAATATTTTGATACTAGATAAGTATTTATGAGAAACATGAGAAGCTTTTTCAAATGTTCTCACTTTAATGAACAATTTGAAGCGACTTTCTTCCACCCTTCAAAGTCATTTCATTTCATGACTTAATTTTATATAAAAAGTATTTTTAACTCAATGAAGAAAACATTTCTTAAGGCTTTACATCAATGTAATTGGTAAGCTTCGTTCGCCTTGAAGCATTTGTGTATTCAATCTATTGATTTTAATTTGAATGAAATTCAATGAATAAATTAATTTGCTCAAATCAACATGATGACGAATCATTTTGCTAAGAATTTCTGCTTCCTTTTCAATTCTATTGATTAACACGCAAAGGAATCCTAAAGTCACGTTAGAGTTGTGATGTTATCCATTCATTAAAGATACGATTTTCTGACCCATCATTCTCGATTGACGATGCTGATAAAACGATTTTCTATTTCAATGGTTTTTCACATCCTCTTAAATACGATGATGATAGGAAATTGTAGAAAAGCTCCATAAGAATAATTAAATAAATAGTTTTAAATAAAAATAGTTAGTTGAACTTTTCGATGTTAGTTCTTTGATAATAATTATTTATTTATTTTTGCATCGGAAAATGTTTGTAGCATAATTAGAATTGCAATTTAAATAAGCAATAAAAACTTTTCATTTTGGAATTAATGCAATTAGAAATATTTTCGAATATCTAATAGTCATGATACTAGTGAAACGAGCATTTCAAATACGATCATGATAACTCATAATGAGTCATCACAAATTGAACGCATAATTAATTATTCAATAACATTTTATTATGATAAAAAATATTTCGTCACAAATATGAAACAATGAAGAGAATAAAATTAAATATCTCTCAACTTAATTCAAACATGTCAAACAGAATTTCATAACTGCATATTTTTATTACAATAAATATTAACAATATGATGAAATTATGTTCAATGATTTGACAAAAAAATGAAACTGTTCGTGAAATTTCTCGAATTATGACGTCATTTCTTGAAATTTTTCACATATCGTCATAGAAGAAATTTCCGGAATATTCTCGAAGTTTCAACAGTTGTATAAAAGTCAGGCGTTGTGAATTCTCATCATCAGAATAACTTCAAACGTTGAAGCGAACAAGACGAAAAGAATATTAAAATCTTAAACTATTAGAAGAAAAATAGAAATGAGAGAAATGACAATGTTACCAGCTTTACTCGACATTGTTGATGAAATTTACTCCAACTTGGATCATCAATCAAAGACCAGCGAACATCAAATTCCGTTGTTTTTCGTTCCGCAAAGACCTGGTCATGTTTGGGGAAAAGGAAGAAAATGTGGATTTGGACCAATGAGAGAATGCCAAAGAGGTCAGCGAGTTAAGAAATGTGGTGGAGTCTGCGATGCGGACAAACCATCAGAGGATTTCAACGTTTCCATCGATGTTAAGGATTTCCAACCAGAAGAAATTTCAGTTAAAGTGAAGGATCGTGAAATTCTCATTGAAGGCAAACATGAAGAACGCGAAGATGAATTTGGAATCGTTTCAAGACAGTTCAGTCGACGATACATCCTTCCAGAAGAATTCGATCTTGACACAGTCTCAACATTATTAAATACCGAAGGAAAAATGACAATCAAAGCTGTGAAACTTCAACCTGCTGTCGATAACAATGAGAGAATTATTCCAATTCAAAGAGTCAAAAGTGCTGCATCTGAATCATCAAAAGAAAATGAAACATCACCGAAAATGCAAGATGATCAACAAATCAACGAAGAACATAAACTTGATGCCGCACAAGGAACATCCAAGGAATAATCAATTTGCTTCAGTTGCTTTACATTTCATTTTTCTTTTCAACTTCAATTTTCTTTCATGTAGAAAAAAATTATTTATTAGAAAAAAATAAATATCTAAATATAGAAAAAATTTCAAAATCTAATCAAGAAAGAAAATTATTTGAATTTCCCGCGAACACAACCCTGCTTTGAACATTGACATTTGTAAGGTTTTAGCGTGCGACATCACTTTTGTGATTCATTCATGTAGGGTCAAGTTAATATTCATAAAATCCTTATATTTAAGTTTTCCACCGTAATCATAGCATTCAAAAATTCATCAAGTGCTTTATAATATTAAGTGCCTTATCGACAATCGTTTGCAGCTAAAGTTTCCATCGTTTGTTGTGTTTTTAAAGTGTTAAAGGTATTTTTAGCAGCCAACCATCGGAATTTATCACGATTCAATGGCTATTCGTGGTTTTGTGTTGAAAATTCAGAGAAGCGTGAATGAAATGAAAAGTCATTACAATCTTATTAAATAATTAACGAATGCAACAATTTCGTAATAAATTCAACACATAATCACAGATTGGCCCAGTGACTTNTTTCAACGTTTCCATCGATGTTAAAGATTTCCAACCAGAAGAAATTTCAGTTAAAGTGAAGGATCGTGAAATTCTCATTGAAGGCAAACATGAAGAACGCGAAGATGAATTTGGAATCGTTTCAAGACAGTTCAATCGACGATACATCCTTCCAGAAGAATTCGATCTTGACACAGTCTCAACATTATTAAATACCGAAGGAAAAATGACAATCAAAGCTGTGAAACTTCAACCTGCTGTCGATAACAATGAGAGAATTATTCCAATTCAAAGAGTCGAAAGTGCTGCATCTGAATCATCAAAAGAACAAGATAAACCTCCGAAAATGCAAGATGATCAACAATCAGAAGAAAAGATAAATGAAGAAGTGAAAAGCAGCTTAGAAAATAAACAAAGTACAGAAAACTAAGTTTTTTAGACTTAAAATAAATCAATAAATTCAATGTTGTAAAAGAAAAGAAATAAAAAGTGTAACAACAATAAATTTCTGCTCAATTTAATTTAATTTTAAGTTTCAAAAGTTCAACAGGAAAAGTTTATTTCAGATCTATAAAATTTTGAAGTAAATTTCTTTCTATTTAATGATTCGAAGATGATTTACAAAAGAAATTTTTGAATCAAAACAACAATTTTCATGGATAATCTAATTTGAGATAAATTATTCATCATTTTTATGATTATTCAACCTTTTTGGAAAATTCTTACTGCTGATTTTAGAAGTTTTTTCATAATTGAACCGATTATTGAATCAAAATCAATTGACTTCTGCATTCCAAAATAATATGAAATACCTAATTAAAAAAATGTTCACTTCTTAAATGGTTGAAAATAAAATAAAACTTGTCGCTTAATTTTATGTTTACTTAAATTAATATTAGGGACACGAAATCAAAGAAATCTGCCGTTTGTTTTCAACCTTGTAAGTGATCTTGGAAATCAAATAGGATAATTACTTCAATTTCAACTGACAACGTCGTCACGTACTTCAGAATTTAAAAGTCAAAACGTTAGTTTCAGTAACAACCTCATTTGGTTCTTTTGCGATTCATTTAATGATTATCGTCCATGCAAACTTAATAATAATTATGATGACCGCAGAGCATTGACCTACACCAAAACACAACAAGCTTTTTTGATGCGTGATAACCAACAGCTGCCTGACTCCTAAAAATAATACTGATTCGGTTAATGATTCAATCCATTTTCCCGATTCCTTCAATTCTTGATCCAAAATGAAAATTAATGAGATTGTTATTGTCAACAGCGATTAAGCAGCACGATATCAGAAAAAAGAATCACATTTTTGTTAACATTGTTAGATATTGATATAATAGGAATTAATGATTTTATACACAAGCTAATGTTACTGCTTGTATTTAAGAATAAAACTGAATAAATATCTAATTAAGAGTGCAATAAAAACTTTTATAAAATTCGCTATTAATGCTTTAGATTTGAATGAAATTTATAATCAAACAGAATTTCATAATTGCATATTTTTATTACAATAAATTATCAATATGATGAAATCAAACAATGATTTGACAAAAAAAAAAGAAATTCTTCGTGAAATTTCTCGAATTATGACGTCATTTTTTTAAATTTTTCACATATCGTCATAGAAGAAACTTCCGGAATATTCTCGAAGTTTCAACAGTTGTATAAAAGTCAGGCGTTGTGAATTCTCATCATCAGAATAACTTCAAACGTTGAAGCGAACAAGACGAAAAGAATATTAAAATCTTAAACTATTAGAAGAAAAATAGAAATAAAAGAAATGACAATGTTACCAGCTTTACTCGACATTGTTGATGAAATTTACTCCAACTTGGATCATCAATCAAAGACCAGCGAACATCAAATTCCGTTGTTTTTCGTTCCGCAAAGACCTGGTCATGTTTGGGGAAAAGGAAGAAAATGTGGATTTGGACCAATGAGAGAATGCCAAAGAGGTCAGCGAGTTAAGAAATGTGGTGGAGTCTGCGATATGAACAAACCATCAGAGGATTTCAACGTT